GAGAGAGAGAGAGAGAGAGAGAGAGAGAGAGAGAGAGAAAAGAATTAGACAATGAGAATGAGCAGATGGTGTAAGCCTTCAGCACTTGGGAGGCATCCGCAGGCTGATCTCTGTAGGTCTGAGGTCATCCTGACTACAGATCTAGTTCCAGGACAGCCAGGACTACACAGAGAAAGTTTCTTGAAAAAAAAAAACAAAAGAAAAAAATGATAGATACTGATATTTATTAGAAATTAAGGAAAACCTTTTCGTTTTACTAAATTTACTTTTATGTAAATTGTAGACTATACCTCTGCTTCTGTACTTACCAAATAGTTCTCCTCATGTGGCTTATGTTCATAGACTAAGATGCAATGTTAATTTACCTATATACAGGACTAAACGGATCAGGTAAAATGCATACTTACCTTTGATAAAATAATATTCTACAGTTGTTTGATAGAGGGCATTGTCAAATGTGTTTCTAGCAAAATTGCATCTAATGGAAAAGGAGAAGAGAAACTTTAGTTAGGAAGAGAATATTATCAATACTTAAATGCTTGGATAAAACCCAATTTGAAGTGGTAGCCATGGAATTCTATTACTTTTCCAGAAAGCATAATTTATTATATGTAAGACAAGTAGCCACATATGTTTCATTATAACCACTACCTAAAGACTAAAACCTATCCATGTCTTAGCTAAAACCTTGTATATTAGCAAGCATTTGTTTCTCCCAAATAATGGACGGGTCCTATCTTTCCATTAACATCTAAACCATATTTTAACATACTTGGACACTTGTCCTGGGGATCACATGGATTCTCTATTGTGTATTCATATTTTAACTTCAGTTCTGTCCTTGCTTTCCCATGCTACAAGTTATATTTACAGCTTGCTGTGACGGTCCAGCATCTCTGTTAGTACTTGTTATGCAGTAGGTATCAGGAACAGAAGTGCTATTTTGGAATAGGAAGGGATGAGATGAATGATTTTCTCAAGGGATAGAGAGGAAGAATTTCCCGTTGTCTATCAATGCGTCCTACAAACAAAAACCACAAAAATTTAACTTCTCTGAACTATGATTTTTATCTGATCTGTCCCCAAACATGCCAATTCTCCTGCTATTTCCATGTCTTGATAAGGCCATCAACTCTACTTTCTCCTTTAATTCTGACCTTGAACCCTCTAGGTTTAGGCTCCTGATTTATTTCCGACTCTTCATTGTTAATCTCTTAGTCTTTATCATTTCTCCCCTGCAGCAGAGGATCACCTCTTGTCACATACTTTAACAGTGGTCTCTTTGCCTTGATATCTCACGATCTCCAAATACCACACTGCCACCAGTTACTTAGTAAAACACAGATTAGTCACGAGGCCACTCCTGCTCTCAAACCATTTAGCTACCGAGCTCTAAACTTTAGTCAGGGTGGGATACAGGACTGTTCATGTTCTAGTCCTCAGTAGCTTGCCCGCCCTTGTTTTCCATCTTTGGAGTACACATTACTCCCATGCTGTGGTTAATGTGGATTTCCATTTCCCTCATGAAAACTCTTACTTCTATGACAGTTTTTAAAGCTTTCTCTTCTGACTAATATTCTTTGCTGAATAAACCCCTCCTTCCTTTTTGAAGACCCAGGTCTTCTGGGCCCAGGTCCCTAGCTTTCCCTGACCCCAGTTTCTCTTCTGTAGTAAGAAAATTTGTCTTCTATTTATTTGCTTAGAAAGTTATACAGCCTTTTATTATAGCTTATTACTGTATCTTTGTTGGTTAACCCCCACTCTTAGTTTCTCTAGATTTAGGTCTCCCAGGAAACACACCTGTGGGGGTGTCTGTGAGGTGGTTTGCAGTGCGTGTTAACCGAGGAGAGAAACCTCCCCTGATGTGGATAGCCCATGCGATGAGTCCTGAGCCAAATGAGGAGGTGTCCCAAGTGGCAGCTTTCATCTTTCCGCTTCTTGACTGTAGATTCCTTGTGATCAGCTGCCTTCTGTTCCCTGTACCAGCATGCCTTTCCTGTCAAGATGGACTGTAGACCCTCAAACCACGAGCCATGAATCCTTCCACCATTAAATATATTTCTGCTGAACCTCTTGCCTCTAACTGCAGAGTGCTAGGTTTGCAGACATGTGCCACCATATCCCATGCATGCTTAAGTTGCTATCCTTGTATGTTTAGTCATAGCCACAGGAAAAGTAACAAATACATTATCAAAATTATTTATATCCATATTTATGTAAGCACCTAAAATATATGCTTTCTAGGGTATTGTAGTTGGAAGATGGTATTCATAAAAACAGTTATTGTCTTTAGGCATGGTTGTGCATGCCTTAAATCTCAGCACTCAGGAGGCAGGGCCATCTCAGTGAGTTCAAGGCCAGCCTGGTCTACAAAGTGAGAACTGCCAGGGCTACACAGAGAAACCCTGTCTTGAAAAACAAACAAGCCGGGCGGTGGTGGCACACGCCTTTAATCCCAGCACTTGGGAGGCAGAGGCAGACGGATCTCTGAGTTCGAGGCCAGCCTGGTCTACAGAGTGAGTTCCAGGACAGCCCGGGCTATAAAGAGAAACCCTGTCTTCGAAAACCTCCCCCCCCCCCAAAAAAAAGAAAAGAAAGACAAACAAACAAAACAATAAAAACCAAACAAAACTAGTTTTTGTCTTCTGTTACTGCATAGCTAGTAATATGTGGGTGTTTGAATCTAACATCTTATTGGTACATATTTTTTCCTGTAAAGAAGGACAGAAACTAGATTAAGTATCTGTCTTGCTCAGTATTCTTTCTCCAGAACTTAGCACAAGGCCTGGCATGTTTATGTGGTAAATGTCAATTAAATAATTATTTAGTGTATGCTACAGCCTTCCTTTTTCTATCCCAACTATCATTCCTTGAGAAGAAGATTTTTTTTTCTGTCTTTGCACAATTTTTCTGTCTCTGGTACAATTATTGTCTATCTTGAATTCATGTGATGCAATCCCAAGACAGATGTTTTAGCATTTTATAATACTTAGGCACTTTGTATCTAGATGATAGCTATTTACTACTTATACTGTTAGGGAGAATAAAATGCCACAGAGAATTTTTAAACAATTTTGATGTCATTTAAAAAAAAAAATCAGCAGTGGCAGTTGCGG